ACCCCCCCTACGGACACCCCCCCAAGGACGCGCGTTGCGCGTCGCTTAGTGTGTGCTCGGTAAGTTTCCTCCCTCATACTAAAATTTTCTGGGGAGAACCCTGCATGGTGACAGACACCTGGACCAGGTCGGTGACCTTATTTGTTTGGAGAAAAGAGGATAACAACGTGAAGATTGTTCAAGCACTTTTAACAGTTTGAGTTCATTTGGATCAACAATCAGCATACATAGCTGCTATTTTTCCTGTGGTCCTACGTTAATAAAACACTGCATGACACACAGGAACATAACATATACAAATCATACACTGAGAATTGATACCTAGCTTCAGTTAGGGATGTCAATCTGATAGGATGTAAAGCTGTGCACGTTTAAGATACCACCACACTTATTGAAAGGAGCAGAGGTCCTTCCCGGTGTGAGTGGCTTAAACCTTACAGTCGGGTCTCAGGTTTGACATCCTTGAATCCTTGATAGTCACCTGTTATGTCAATACTTCCACAAATGTGGTACATCTTAAGAAACATAAACAGGCCTTACCGGTTTGTGCTGGCAACAAATCCAGCCACGGACCTCACCCCCTTCTTCGCTTCGTGATAGACATCGATACCGATCACCATGATGTTTTTCTGAAAGAAAAATGTCAGACACACATTTTAGACCTTATAAAAGCAGACTACATAATCATTCCTGGGTATCTCTATGTTCTCTTAAACTACACACTATTCGAGTAGGATTGGGTAGAACTACAGACAAGAGAAAAAACGTTAGCAAATGAGGCTGGCAGAAAGTTTTTGTGCATGAACAAAATTATGAGGGGACATTTAAGATAATGTCTTATACCCACTTTCCACCAAATAGCAACTACTGCTGAATAAGCAAAATTGTTTTATATTATTTGTCACCCTTGGCTTTATAGTATTCATTGTATGAATCCTAAAGTAAAGTAAAGTAAAGAAAAGTAATTGTACCAACCCTGGAAGATTAGATTAATTTTGATGCCCTTTTGGGCCAAAGGGCATCGAAATTAAGACAATGAAGACAATGAGGGCATTGAAATTAAGACAATGAGGGCATCGAAATTAAGACAATAAAAACAATAGTGAGGGACTTCATATTATTTGAAAATACTCTCATGACTCAAGATTTGTAAGGTAAAAAAAGGAAAGCCTGACCAATGGGATCTCCAGCGCCCAAAGCTCGCCCCCCAGCTTAGCGTTGATCTGGAGGGCAATCTTTTGTGTCACCGACCGGAGCTTCTGCTGCATAGAGATCGTCTTCGCATTTATAACCTGGGGAAAAATGTACAAAAATGTACTTGAATTTTCAATTTAAATCCATTGAGAGAAATACCCGTAGGAGATGATAGACTTGTATATAGTGAATTATGCATATAAAAATATTTGTGACATACAATGATTCAACTAGGAAGGTAACACTTGCAAAGCAAATGCATAATGTTTACTTTAACATGGTCTAGCCTAATAAACTACTGCTCTTACACATTATTACACATTTACATATATGGTGACCAGCCCCTCCAAACTCTGTTCAGCCTATTACTACATAATGTAACCCAACACCACAGGGTGTCTGCTACAGCACCAGTTACCACAGTGACAGAGATCTGGTCCAGGTCAGTGACCTGACATGCTTGGAAAAGAAGAAACGTAGCAAAAACAATATGTTTTCTCTCTCCAAAGGTAAACATTAAAAAGTTCTGCCCTACCTGAGATGGAACAGGGGAGTCCACACAGCAGAGTTTCTTGACAGCGCTGTATCGATCGTCACGAGAGGTGGGGAATATACACACCACCAACTGCACCTGTGGAACAACAACAATGTCAGGGTTTCACAGTGACTCAAAATTCACTTATTTTCCTTTTTGAAGTCATCACAACAGTTGCAGCTTAATATTTGAATGTGTCGAGTAGCATACAGCAGTTAACTTACAGTGTTTTGTGCTTACAAACCTGCATTTCTCCTGCAGTCTCTTGTCACTGACTAAAGGTATTGGATACTAGCTGAAACGTCTGACTATTTCCAAAATCATATCCAGTTTCTTCAGTAACTGTTTTATGGCTTAAAGTGTTTTTGTTGTATTACTTCTTCCAAAATTTGCTCAGATTCAAGCTGAAGAGACACAGTAAGGTTTGTTATCATGTTGTCATACTTAGACACCAGGAAGATTAGTGATGTATAAATGGAGATCTAAATTAACAAACACACACACACACACAGACCTGAGGCTTGAGGTTATCGCGTATGATGCGCAGGTAGGTCTCCGTTCGGTCGTTCTCCAGGCGGAACTGTAGCGGGTTGTTGACCCGGATCCCCAGGGAGGGGCACACCTTCTTCATCATCGTGATGAAGTCATTCGCTTTGCTCTCGTCCCGCGAGAAGAACAGAACCATCCAGCACTGAAGGTCAACCTGAGGGGAACAGCACACAGTATGTAAGCTTGTGGCTGAAGTTGTTACTCCGTAAAGGAGGTATCCCTCCTGCAGGAGTATTGTGGTCAGTCATTTTTCGCATTCGCAGGTAAAACTCACGGTTCCCTTTGTTTCATCAGCATATAATTTGATCTGCAGGCATGCCTGTGATGATGCCCGTATTTTTATTTCTACTGTAGCTGTTTTCGTGGTCAATGTAATATTTCAGAAGCACCCCTACATTTAATAGGTTTTTGGGACTGGCTGCAGATGAACCATTGTTTAGAATGTCCTTCAGGCAGATACAGGGTTTGGTCGCTAATTAGAAACAGCCGTTATGTCACGTACAGAGAAGTATTGGAGGCTGTTTTCAAATGTGTTTGCAGCTGAAAGTCATTGTTCTCTGTTGTATTCTAGGTAACTGGGCATGTTGAGTGCCGTTAT